TAAAGACCTGAATCCCCCACTTATGACATGGAACGGCCATGACGTGTCGTGGGGTTTGTGTTAACCGGCTTTGCCACAACAAGCCGCAAAAGAGCTGACAAAAAAAAGAAGTAATTCAAAGCTGACACACTAGCACCGGGAAAAGTCTTACCTGGACAATAACTATCTTTCAAAAGAAAATTTCCTCTCAGAATTCAAACCCCAAAACATTAAATTTAAAAATTAAGCATCTCCTTTGTCAGAAACTGAAAGGAATGCTTACAAGCAAAGATAGAAATACAAAATTATCAAAGTTGTGCAGGGGAAAGGGGTGGCCGGGATAACAAATGTCAGAAAGGGGCGGCTGAGATACGTGCCAGCTGTAAAGATACTACTTATTTTACCGAGAATTCTTTAAAAATGATACACACTTTCACAGAAAAAGGGAAAAAGTGTCTGCGGTCCACTTGACAATCCTCTGAATCCGCCCATGTTTTGAATACGAAATTAATGTCCACTTTGAATAATTTATTGGGAGATAATAAGCGTAGAGTATGGTAAGTCTTCGCCCTGTTAAGAACACCTTTTTTACCGTTATTTAGACTGAAATAGATTGAAGATCGTAAAACTTCCCCGAGCCATTAAAAGTTGTTATTTGACGTATTTGTTGTTAAAAGAAACAAGCAGTAATGTCTGTGTATCATTTAAGCTTGACTGGAGCAGCAATGGTGTACAAGCTATACGTTACTCAGTGTTATCTCCGCTATTGATGTCGTAAAGGTACAAAAGGTAAGTTCAAAGTTAGCCAAAGGTGAACTGAAAACCACCTGGAAATCCACTGGACGAGAAACCACCCGGTCCACCTGAAGAAAGGGAAGTATATAACACGTTAAATTCTTGTCATCACAGCCAGCTTCATGAACTTACTAAAATGATTGCTAAATGTATTATTAACCTCGAGGAGGGTGTTAATTCTTCATACCTTACGAAAGTAGCCTAATCATCAACAGTATCGGGACAGGAAGGGATGTTTACTTTAGCAGATAATATCGTATTTTTGTCTATTCGGTACAAGTCTTAAACCATCTTCTCCAGCTACACACTGCCAAAGCCAAATTTGGTCAACGCTCCAGCCAGTTGCAAAAATACTCTGCACTTTACCTTATTTTGGCTTAAATAGCCTGCCCATGATCTTGTGCTTGTGATTCCCCCTCCTCCCTGTATCAACGTTGCTAGCAATACAAGACCGTGCTCAAAACTTGGAGGAAAAACCTTCACTGGAAGGGAGGAAGGAGGTGAGGTCGCACAAAAGTGTGACTAGCAGCGATTTGAAGTAAAAAAGGCCGGTTTTTTGTCGGAGTGTGTCACCTTTTTTGCATCTGGTTGAAGCTGGTTATGAAGAATTAACCGGCGAATGTACATTGTTCAGTAACGAAAAAATATTTTGAAGGAATAAAATGATTTAAGTTGTACCATGATTGAAAGATCAATTTTTCTACAAGCAACATTTTCAACAAGTGCTTGCTCATGGCACTCTTGAAGAAAACTAATAAGGTTCTTTAAGGTCAACATCGCCTGCTTTAGTTCCATCACAAGAAACGTCCAATTGGGACCTTCCCACATGTAATTGTTTTATTTCGTCTCATCATTTCCTTCATTAACAGACCAATAGATTTGCAAATGGGCGTCAGCGTTAACAGTCTAGGCCATAACCATTTCTGGATATCGGTTTCGTGCCTTGTGATTGGCTGAGGTCAAAACCAAAACAACATAAACTTGTCCGAGAGATATTGGAAATGAGTAGAATATCGAGTAAACCAATTTTTTGATGGCAGGCATTTGCGGCAATCAGCCAAAATTCAGTAGTAAACACTGCATAGAAAGACAGCATAAAAAAAATAATTCATTTATTTGAAACATTTAGCATACAAGTATTGACATTCCCGAACTCTGAGAGAGTGAAAAATTCATCATTTGAACGTCGTGGCCTTCCACCCGCGGCGCCAAAGAAAATATTTAAACCACAGGGCGCCCCCACAATCTGCGTGTGTAACCGATGTTATTTTATACTAAATGCACTAAGTGTGTATATAAATCAACGTTGAATAAACGTTGAATTACCTTACCTGTGGTATCGAGTTCGCCGTTTACTGTTCCTAATAATCGGCGAACTCGAAATCCTTCAAAATTTCATATGCAGGTATTTCAAATTAAGCTGAAATACCACTGCTCTAAGCCAATCAAATTGCAGAAATTTCTCATGAAGTAGTATAATGCAGGAAATAGGTCAGCTTCATTACCTCTCAACGTGAAACCAACGGCAACAACAAGATTTGCTCGACAGCATAATCTACCCGCTAGAAAAGAATCGGAGGCTAATGTGGCAGGAGCGGCGGTTGACGGGTGGCGGGTGACGGGCAAGCCAGGGAAAAGCACCCTGGGGACGATGTTGTTTGTAAAGGAGAAATATCACGATAATGAAATAAAATGACTGTAATTATCTCTATTTAATATAACTTGGTATAATGTGATTGATAGCTAACACATATATTGTAATTTTGAATTATCTCAACGTTTATGTGCCAGCTGATATAAGACTCCAAATAAAAATACATGTCTTGTCTTGTCTTGTCTACGTCAGGCTACGTACACCTAAGGGGACTATTTTTCCCAAGACTTTATTTTTATAAACTGAGAAATCATGCTACATGTTGCCTGCGTCGCAGACACTGTAAACCTTCTGTTTAACAAATAGATTCCATGTTGCCGTGCGTCTGTTCAGTAATAGATCACAGATGACGTCAAAATGTCGTAAAAACAAAGAAGTGGCACACGAGCCGCAGGCGAGTGTGTCACTGTTGTTTTTACCACATTTTGACGTCCTCTGTGATCTATTACTGAACAGACCCACGGCAACATGGAATCTATTTGTTTTATACAATGATCAGAAAAGAAAAAGACCGATACACATACCTGCCTCGAACCGCTTGACCTTTTGAGGATTTGTGCTAGTTTAGGCATTTTTTAAGTCCCAAACCCAACTTTTCATCTTAGCTTCTTCTTTATCTTACTTGTGTACAGTTTCTTCGAAAAGTTTTTCACCGTCTTTTCTTGCTCAAAGAAGAATAATAGCGAAAACATTTTGCAAAACAGCGAGTCTCTCGTAGCGAAGACACACGATGGCAACTGTTGTGAAGATTTCTTGTAGTTTAGGCATTGTCAAGTAGTCAATAGCTTTTTTGGTCTCCGTTTCTCCATTTTTCTTCTTTGTAAATAGCTCCTGCTAAACTTTTTCCGAAGCTTTCACTTGCCTCAATCCGAAATAACCTCACAAACATTTTCAAAACCGCGTGCCATGTTGAACAAAACAAAGAAAACAAGTTTCCCGTGACGTCATTCATGTATCTGTACTCTAATAGATAATGGGCAACGACCAATCACAGCGCGCGTAGCATTCACATCATTGTATAAATAGAGCTATATTAATGGTTTAGAGGACTGCGTGGGCCGGCTGCAACGCAGGCTATGCCACAAGGTATGGCGCAAGGGACGTTTAGCAAGGCTACACGCGGTGTGTCAAATTGAAATGGGAAATGTCAAGCAAGACAAATGGCACGTGTCTAACCTTATCCAGAACTTGAAGTGAATTTTTTGCGTATGCATCTCTACATTTTCCTGCTGCGAAAAAGTAAGTGTAAGGCCAAGATCGCTTTTTTCGCAAGTTTTTAGTGGCAGACATTTCCCCCTTTTCTGGAAGGATAACGGACAATTATCGTTTCTTAAGGTGAGGGAGTGGCGATGATTCTAGGGACAGCATACAATTTTCAATATCGCTGGGCTTTTTGAATATTTATCTTCTTTCATTTTCTGGACTTTCTTTGTTTAATGGATTGCACTTTTTATATTTGATTGCGTGACATTGAAAACAGAGAATTCTCACGTAATGCAAGGATAACTATTCTTTTGTTGCAAGCTATTAAGCTATTAAATCTCTACTTTAATTTCAGCTCCAATATATGTTAATATATGTTAAGGGATAGAATCCGTTAAAGCTCTATCAGTTTATCCGCCAACCGCGACCCGCGGAAAAGTCCTACCGAAACAAATGACACTTTACATTATGAGATAAAAGTCATTCAGTCCTACAGGCCCGCCGTTTTTTTACCAAGTTAATTCGGGTCATTAAAATCACTATCCGTGAAAATTCAACATCCTGAAAACAATCGTGACGAAGCATAGCACGAAATCACCAAAGTTCCATTCTTGTCAGAAACAAAAAGCACAGGAAATAACCTCTGCATGTGAGACTGTTAAAGTTTGGATTCTTCCACTCTGTAATCTACCCGCTGCTACCCGGCACCACACTGCTCTGCATCAGATAGTTTTTTTTTCCACGAAGACGACAAAGTGTAACGACATATTAAATGTGAAGTTCATTCATTCATCATGCCTGGAATCTCATCAACACGAGCATACATGCACAGTAACTCCTTTATCGGCGCCCTCGCAGAAGGCCCCTTTGATCGACTTTTCCACAGAATTTTTGTCTCAAATCACAACCGAGGCTATCACCTATTCGCTTGTTATATTTTGTCACTCTTTGCCTTTAATTTCGCAATGTTTCATGGAACATAACTGAGGACTAAATCCGTTAAGGCTCAAATAAGATTAGAAATAAGTTTCCTCGAAGTCGGCATTATAAAAGCCATTAGTGATGACGTCATCGAGTATCCAGAAATGGTTATGGCCCGGACTGCGTAAGTTGGAAACGTTGATATAAACATCAAATACATATTGTATACATGAGAAGTATTTTATAAAAAGTAATTCTAGTCGCGCTAGTGGACCACAAAGAATAGCACAGGAGATAGAAAGAACATAAGTTTCTTCAATGACGTATAAATTAAAGATGAACCACCTGTCTACAGCGGTCGACTTTTCGGTTTATTGTGCCCTGCCTTTTTCACTGTCTTCAAGCCGATGGCTGTGTATAGTTTTGATTGTATTTCTATATTCTGATTCTATTGTACCGTCAACATACCTCCCGGTCCACCAAAGTTGAACCCGCCGAATCCTGGACCTCCAAAGAATGCTTGAAATATTGAATTTGGATCAAAATCTAAGTGGTATAGAACAAAGGAGACAATCAATAGATATGAAAGATATATGCAACAGCAGTCATGGGTAATACACACAAGCGAAATAACAGAAAAAGGTCTCGTGCCGTAAGACTGAAGATAACATGACACGTACACACACAGCAGTATCTGCTAACTCTTATCTACATATGCAACGGAAGGGTCTAACTCTTTGCCGGGCGAGTAAAAACTTAAACAATTTAAAATTGTGACAAACCTGTGTTCATAAAGCCGTCCTCAAGGTCTTGTCCTGAGTCATACCGAGCTTTTTTCCTGGGATCTGATAATACGCTGTACGCTTCATTTACCTAAAAAATAAACAAGTTCCATTGTTAAAACACGAGACCACTAAGACTTTTACAGAACTCGTCCTTGTTAGTCTGTGCAACGCGCTTTTCGTCGTATTTTGGACACAAATGGCGGTTATTGTGCCAGGCGTTCCTAGCGGAGACCGTGGAAACTGGGAATATTAAGAATCGCTGCGTGATCGAAGCCACGCATGTTTTGCCAAGAAAGCTTAGGAAAGATTAAGTCGAGAACTTTTCCGAAACGTGTCGGTCCACGAATTCAATCGCTTGAAAACGTTGATTACTTAGAACAAGTGAACACTTCTGAGTGGTGGAAAAATAAAATATAAATCTTAATTAACAAAACTGCGATGGTCGGGTGTTGTAACCTTTCATTGTATACAAATGGTCTTGTGATGAGCATGCAGTTTATTTTCGGCGATGATTCAAATAAAGTGCCATGTAGGAAACTTTTTTGATCTTGGCGATGATGTAATTTCTCTGGAATCGTGTATTTATACACGCGTATAGCCTGCGAACGCAGACGTATTTCCGGTCGTCGCTAACACGCGTCCTAAATCAGTTCAGAAACAAATAAAAAGTATTGACGTCGATCAAGTAGGAAGTTAAAAAACCTTTAGCGAGTAAATCCCCTTTCGTGTAGAATTAATCGCCCCCTCATTTCTCGATATAATCTCCAAGCAAGCGAGACGGAGAACCGCTGTAAGCGCGTTCTTGTTTTCTTTTAATCAGTTGAATGTAAATTTTGTGTCATGGGAAGAGTACGCGTCCCGTTAGGACCATTACGCCCGGGCCACTACCGGCCATGTGTTAGAAAACTCTTTACTGGGTTAATCATGTATCTACCCTCTCAAAATAAAGAACATTGTATTGTTTGTATTGTATTGTTCTTATTTATAGCTTTTTACGTTTTTGAGTTTTCCCGTCACCTCCCTCAAACAAAAAGAGAGAGAGAGAGAGTAAAGAAAGTCATATGGCTGTCGATGCGTTACGAAAACAACAGCAAGCGTTTCGCCTTGGGAAGTCCCAGGACAGCCTGATAACAGCATATTTTCCCCAAGCCTCTTACTTTGTTAAAGTACAATCGACGCCCGATAACTCGAACTTTCTAGGGAAATCGAAAAATGTTCGAGTTATCGGGAGTTTGAAGCAAATAACCGGAAATAACAAAATAAGCGAATGGGGGGGGGGGGGGGGGGGGTCAAGAAATATATAGCATCAAAACGTTCGTCATATAGAAAAAACATAGCAAGACAGGAATCGAAGAAAAAAAAAAAAAGTAGAAGGAAAGGAGGAAGGGAAAGTGAGAAAGAAAGAAAGAGACAGAAGCAAAGGATGGAAAGAAGGGGGGGGGTAGGGGGGGGAGGGGAGAAGGCGATGCAATTAAGCGACCAAGTATACAGGAATGGACACTGAATTTGAACTAGAAGGACAAAAAAGTAAAGACAAAACATTGCCACGGTTGCTTTGAAATAAATTCAATGTCTCGGACTTCAGTACACGGTTTTTTTCCTGACTTGTCACGCGCTTACAACATGGTTCCAGTTATCGAGGGTAAATTTATATAGAAAAGATCTGAAGGGAAACAAAAATGACTTCGAGTTAGCGAAGGTTCGAGTTATCGGGAGTCAACTGTATGCCCTGACTCATAACCATACGTAAATTACTGTAATATGCGTGCAAGGGAAGACTTAAAATTATTAGCGACTAAATCAAAGATGAATTACAGGACAAGGTCTGAAAATCAACCACACCTTTTGATCCTTAGGACTCCTAAAACACAAAGATATATAGCTAAGTTGGCAGAATACATAAGCATATTAAAAGAATGCTGTCTAGAACAGTAAAACAAACAGACCTCTTTAAACAACAGTTCTTCACTTTTTTTCACTTCATCTGTCGCACCAGAGTGACGATCTGAAAAAGTTATCATATGCAACCAGTTAGCGTGCGAGAAAGTTCTCTCGCAGGCTAGCGACCAGTAGAGTATTAAACAATTTTGATATTTGAAAGGGCGTTCGAACCAGAAGCAGTTATCGTTTGACGTGTTGAAAAGTGCTGAACACTAACAACGGTCTTCAATGTAATCAGCTCCTCCCCGCATTTTTGCGTTTCGGTCATGAGTGGGTCATTAAAGGTAAAGGTAAAAGTAAAGATCCTTTCTTTCGCGTCGGTAAATCGTAACAGTCATCATTTGACTGACATCCTGCACTTATTTTACCCCCCTCTCTATCAGTGCTCCGTTTTACGGGTATTTAAAGTAACTTAAAGCTACGCAAAAGGGAAAGAAGTTGATTTGAGGTCACACCTGGGAACCGAAATCGGCAACTCTCGCACGGAAGGCCGTGCACTACCCGATTGTGCCAATCCTTGCTCCCTTACATTTGATTATGAGTACGACTTGAATTTTTTTGCTGACTAGCACAAATAAATGTTAGGGATAAGATTGACATGATAAGTAATTAAATAAGGTACACGAATTAGAAGTTTGTAAATAGTAGGCTTGTACTCATAGTCCAATCTAAAGGTCCCTCAGAATTATCAGAACAGCAGCGTGAGGTGTAAGTCAGTTACTGTTTTCAAGATGCACTGCAACAAATGCAACTCTTGAACATGCACAGATATTTTAATGACAGCGAAACGCTAAAGAATTTGATGCAAATGAAAACAACTTGATGTCGAAAAGCGAGTGATCGACGAGCAGCCATCTTGGTTTCAAATGTATTAAGAAGGCGAGAATCGAAAGTCCTGATTTGAGCCAACAAGCTATTAGACAGCCTAGGGTAATCACCCTGAGAGAAAGAGTTATCGACTAAAGAAAAGTGAATCACAAGAAAATATGGGTTTCAAGAGGAGGCAACCTATTCACCCACCTCCAAACTGTACAAGCACATCAATGTGTTCAAGGCGGAAAACAACGATAACATACATATAATATCTTTCAAAAAGCGACATCGCGGGGCCTATTCTATCCCACTTCACATGATATAGACTCAATAACATTACTTTCTTCACTGAATAGTCTCCCTTAAAAACGTTGGTCATAGCCTTGCTAGCACTGCCTTATAATGCTCTTGAAACACTTTGCCCCGTTGCGCTAGCTCTTACCTGGATGATGTTTTAGTGCTTCTTTTTTGTACGCCTTTTTAATTTCTTCCTCTGTTGCCCCCTTGGAAATGCCTAGAATTTTATAGTAATCTTTTCTTTTGCTCTTTTTCAGTTCAAATTTCGCCTCTTCTAGCATTCGTCGATGCTCTGAAAAAAAAAAATTATTTGAAGCATACCTGAAGAAGCAAAAGCATGCAAACATCACATTTAAGTTTCCTGCCTTGATTAAACTGGATTACTTACGTACTATTACTTACTTACTGATATGACATCTTTGCATCAAACGAGGGAACTTTTCAAAACCTTAGCAAGATACTTCAAGCTAGGTTCTCTACTTTCACTGTTTTGGAAAGTTTTTTGATATTATCAGTACGCTACCAATTCACTAAACATTTCAAAAGTTTACTAAAAAGGTTTTAAAAAACTGAGAGCTGAAACTAATGTTATCGTCGGCGCCATTTGGCAGCATAATTTTTAATCGAGCGAGAAGGGTTTTCAACGAGAAAAATCCATATTCTGAGAAAAAAGAAAAAAAACCCGTTACGTTAACTAATCATTTTACGTATCATTCCTCATGGGTTCACTTGTAAATGAAATTCCTAACACAACAACAGAGCTGCAGAAGGATGCCTTAGACGTTTGACTGCGTTGGAGTTGTCCCCGAAATGGTAGCGAAAGATGGTCTCGATATGTTCAGGTCCTTTTTACCGCTAAAATGTTTCAGAATATGTAACAAGCTTGAAGGGCCACAGTTAACAGAATGGTAGCCTGCGAATACAGCCGTTTCTCCTTGCTCCTATGCTTCTTGCTGGAACGTTTGCACCTCAGCGACAGAAATTCCATACTGATGACGTACAATCTGTCCGGAATCTGGTCAGGAGCTCTGATTGGTCGACATAGTAGTTATATTGTTTTACCTCTTGTTTACGAATGACAGACAAAAGACAAAAGGCCACAAAGGTCTAATGTAAACGCGATGAATCTATAACAAAACGGTCAATATTCGTGGAATATATTCTTCTCTAGAGGAAGCATGCTGGGGCTCATTCGCAGTAGAACACAAAACTTTACCATACTCGACCAGGAGAAACATAAAATCAAGCAAATGTACTTTTGGGACCCCATGACTACCGGATTTATCATGTAAACATTGAATTGCTTCATCAGTATGAAATTTCTGTCGCTGAGGCGCAGACGTTCCTCCTATGCTTCTGTCGCAGGATAACACCATGGTTGTGGTCTCCTCACCTCGAGATCGGTCCATTTTACAAACTTTTTCATAATCTCTTACAGCTTCTTCGTATTTTTCTGCTTCCATGTAACTTAAAAGGAATAAACGAACATGGTCATATTACTGGCGAATAGCTCAAACCTGGAAAACACATATGCAGATTTATTAAAATTTTAACTGAGCAAGTTCCATTTAAACTGCACACATTGCTGTGGACCAGATTGTCGGATTTGGATTAGAGGGAAGACAGTTATGTTTTCTACGGAAATCAGATGGACGGATGAGACACAATATAGGGATCTTTAACCAAAAAATATATCAGGCGATTTCCCATTTTGGCACAGAGGTAAGAATTTATCTTCCCGCTTTGAATCATAATTAAGCATAAATTGACGTACAGCCTATAATTCGAGAGATCCACCTTCTTTCTATTGCCATTATGAAACTGACCATAGGAGCCTGATTTTTTGAAAACCTTACTGTTTAAAAACCAAGTGTAAGAGGAGGCAGCATGGCCGAGTAGTTAGAGAGTTGGACTTGCAGACAAGAGGCCTCAAAATTCCCCACAGTTGGGATTCTTAACCCTGTTATGTTTCACAATCATTCGTTTCAGTTACCGTTAATGATCTCATAGACGCCCAGACGGGGCGTTTAATAGATACAAGGCGTTTATTTCATAGTTGTAACAAGCTCAACAACACTATATGCTTTCTCGCAAAAAATATCAAAAGAGTTTACAAATGGCATAATTTCAAGTCGTTCCATTGATACTTCTAGGTCGTCTAGAGATCTACATCGCTCTTTCATATCTCAACTTCGATGTCAGTTCTCGTGTTAAGGGTAAAGAAACTGCAGAAATTGAACGACTCTAAATATAAATCTAAATATTGTTTTGTCGGCAATATCCAGGGGACATCACGCTAACTCTAAAACACTCCAAGACAAAACAAATGGTAATAAAAGCTAAAACTACAAATAAGACAAATATTAACTGCTAATAAAAAGAGTTAAAGGAGTTAACTTTTAAATAAAGACAGAGATTGGCTTTTCAGTTACTGTCCTGGGAAAGAAAAAATCTAAAAATATCCTTGTGTTCTTTCGGTACAATACACTTAAAATCATGGCTTCCTCGTGTTCCCCTTTCTCTATTTGGAATCAAATAGTCCTGCCATTTCCCACCTTATACATAACGGACAGCCTTATGTGTATTCTCATTGTTTCAAGCGTGTCCCACTTTAAATTTCGCAGCATTCCCGTCACGCTCGCTGTTCGATCATAATTTCCCGTGACAAAGCGAGCCGCTTTTCGTAATACCCCTTCTATTGCGGCTTTATCTTTCTGGTAGTGCGGGTCCCATGTACTACAGTCATACTGGAGCTTTGGCCTCACAAGTGTCGTGTACGCGGTTTCTTTCACAGATTGCGTTTAATAAGTCCTAACATGAGATTACCTCGATGTGTAGGGACCACCTTATTTTGTTACCAAGCCCTACTCCCACATAAGGGTGAGAATCCACTTCTTCTAGAATTTCTCCACAAAATACGTATTCCCGCTTTGGTTGATTTCTCTTGGTTGTTCACTCCGGTCTTCTTCCTATGATCTTCGTGGCAACTACATTCTTTCACTAAGTAAACCTAAAACAACTACCTATGGTCTTAACTCCTTTTCTTACTTTTCAGCTAAGCATCACAAAAGATTATTCCATATGACAATGCATCATCAGCAAAAAGTCTAACGGTGGAGTTAAGACCATTAGGTAAATCAGTTATATCTATTGAGAACAGTAACGGTCCTAAGACCGTCCGGATGTCGTGGCTACAGGAGCAGATGATGCCCCCTCAATTACTACTGATTGGGTGCGCTGTGATAGAAACGATTCGAACCAGTTTAGTAGTGAGCCACGAATTCCGTAATACCCAAGTTTCGTCAACAGACGACGACGAGGAACTTTGTCAAACGCTTTTGAAAAGTCAACGATTGCGGCGTGAATTGTTTTGTTAGATTGAATAGTACTTGCTCTGTCTTGAATGGTACATATGGGATGTGTTTCTGTTGATCGTTTCGCCCTAAAGCCATGTTGGTAATCAGTGAGCATTCCATATTGCGACAGGTGACAGAGGTGATTCATAACATGGCTGTGTACAGTACTTTTGAAGCGATGCAAGTAAGTGATACGGGCCTATAGTTTGATGAATCCGATTTCTTTCCTTTCTTGTGAATGCCACATACGTTGGAAACATACGTTGGCATGTTTCCATTGGCTGGGCACAGTTCCGGTATTGATACAGTCTTGATAGATATAAGTAAGAAACTCTGATATTTCATGGTTATTCTCCTTTAAAAACCAGGGGGAAATTCCATCTGGGCCATAAGCTTTGTCAGCTTTCAACCCTCTAAGTTGCTTTTCGATTCCAGAGGTAGTGATAGTTATTGTTCCAATAGTCGGAAAAGGATTTTTTCCAGGGTCTGGGATATTCTCTGTTTCTTCGTTGTTAAAAACACTGGAGAACTGGCTGTGTAGCACTTAAGCCTTAGTACTCGGCTCAGTAAACACTTCATTTCCAACTTTAAGGTCTTGAATATCTGTGCCCTCCTTTCCTAGTTTTTTGATGTGTGAACAGAAAGCCTTCGGGTTTTGCTTTAAGAAGTCGTCGAGAAGGTCAGAAAGATAATTGTTTCTGGACCTACTCAAATTCTTGTGTAATTGTTTCCTGGCTAATGTGAACAAATTCCAGTCTGAGACACCTTTGCTTTTTCCTTGTCTGTCTCCTCAAACTTTCAGTTAAACCAGGGTAGGTTATGGCGCGAATAGTAAACTTGAATCCATTATGCCAGTAAGCCTTTGTTGAAAAATGTTCCACTTTGCTCCTCTTTTGTTCCCTTTTGCTCCTGTCTGCTATTTGCTAGTAAGTAGTAATTTGTTATGGTGGGCGTCTATTAGACAGAGGGTGTTTATTACTGAGAGAGGGGGGGCGCCAATTTGATCATTTACGGTATTTAGCTCGGCCCAATTAGCCTTGCACTAAAAATACTACGTACTGGCACAATAACTAAAGGTAACATAAAGGTTATTAATTATCTATGTGTCTATCAAACAGTTTAAGTAATCTATAAAAATCGTAACAATTTTTCAAAGAACATTTATTAAACGCTCGCTGATGCATTTACCCAGATCAAAAAGAAATCAGATAAAATAATAATAAACACACTTTTGTTAGGAAGGGAGGACCACTAACCATCGAGCCCGTTTGATGTAAGCCTTTAGGTATGTAGGGTCCAACTCAATTGCTTGAGTACAGTCGTTGATGGCTTCCTCTAATCTGTTGAGCTGAAACACAAGTTTATGCAAAGATAAATCAACGCCTGTAAAACATGAAAATAGAAAACAAGTGTTTTTTTACACTACATTATATAAAAAGCGGAACGGTCTAAAAAGGGAAGTGCTGAAAATGTTCATTACTTCACATTCCAGTCGTTCAGAATGGGTGAATATTTGAACAAAGGGACGGAAAAAAGAGCAATTCGAAACATTCTCAATGCGTTTACTTAATGATTTTAAGTAGGGCTGGCTTCCTTTGTTCTTTCGTATATTAAAGATCCAAGGATCCAAGGATCCAAGGAAGATGTCAGCAAAATTAAACGCGCCACATTATTCCAATTTAATCCGTTTCCCAAAACCAAGGGCCAGAAACTAAAGGAAAGGATGAGTTGACGTGACGTAGACTGAGTAAAGAAGCCTTGTCACCGAAAGTCCATGATTTTTTAAATTCTCTTTCAAAAAAATTTATATAAAAAATTGTAAGAAGGATGATGTAATTTTCTTTTTGCCAGAAAGTTACACGGTTGTCTGTTATTCAGCTGCACGCGTCTGCTCAAAATTAAAAATCAGCTGAAAATCGGTTGTTTTTACAAATAAGTCGGAGAGAATTCTCGATACTTTGTGGGCGTTTTTAATAAAACAATTATTCCACGCGCTAATTGGATAGGAGATGATTATAGCCAACTCGGTGCTACGCGCCTCGTTGGCTATCTAGTATCTCATATCCACAGCGCACTTGTGGAATAATTGTTAAATATATATATATATTTGTGAAAGGTTTGAACCCAGGAGTCATTTCAAAAATAGCTTGACTTTGATCGTCTGGGTGAATGTAGTCCTGAATAGGACTGTTGTTGTTGACAGTGACTGACGTTTCGACAGCCTGAGCGATAGTCATCTTCAGAGTCAAAGTGAGTTGTATCACGTCAGTTGATGGTATTATACTCTGGTTATTGGTCTGATTATTGGTCAATTACGTCGCGATGTTATTGGTCGTCTGTCAGTTAAGCCTTGATGTTATTGGCTATGAAGACTCGTGATCAGTAATTGGTGCGTTTCGATCCGTCTATTGTCACAGTTAAACAGTCGTCTATTGTTAGCCAAATTGTCAGTTCTCCAGTCGTTCTCTCGTAGTTAGTTTTGCTTGATCTCGTCAATAAGTCGTTTGTACGGCGCTGGTAACTGTTGGCTACGATTCAGTGGCGTTTGTTCTAAGTTAGTAAACCAGCTTTCTAAAGTAAGACGTTGATGGGGTAGTCTGTAGAATACGTTATACATGTCGCAGAGTCCCAGTCAATTTGATGTTTCGTCTTTAAATGGTGCTAAGCAATGTCATTGTTGACGTCACCATTCCTCGTCGCGCGTTTGTGTTCGGTCAGTCGCATGCTTAGGTTTCTGCCGGTTTCACCAATGTAAGAAGCCTGGCAGTCGTAGCATTTGATCTTGTATACTGCTCCCTCTCTGTCCTCCGGTTTGTCTTTGTCCTTGACATTCGTAAGCAGTCGCCGTAAAGTGGTTATCGGTTTGTGTGCAACACGTATATTGTGTCCCTCTGATGTATATATATATATATATATATATATTTATTAACAAGGTTTCAGAAATATACCTTTGAACCGACTAGTGATCTGTTGTAGTAAAGTTTAGCGTTTGTGGAATTATTGTGGGCATCAATAGTTAATGCTTCAGTATAGATATCGTAGGCTTCCTGATATTTCCCACAAGAGAAAGTGTCATTTCCTTCCTGCTTCTTGGCTTGCAGACGTTTAGCTTTCTAGGAAAAAAAAGAGAAACATAAACCTTAGAATGGAGCGCACAGTTTTGTCGACGAATTCTGACGGAAGATGCATTTCCATGTAATTTAGGGGCTGTTTACATGAAGGTGGGGGACCCCAGGTAGGTGAGGTAACATGTGGCAGGTTACCCCACCTATCATGTAAACGTGATCAAATTAAAATGAGAGATTATATGAACAGGCCGGTTATCCCTCCTAAACGGGTTACCTCACCTACCTGGGGTCCCCCACCTCCATGTACACAAGCCCTAAGAAGCTTTTCGCGGTATCAGCTTCTAAATAAACGCAAAAATCGAGGTGCCATAGCGTTTCAATCTATATTCTGCATTGTGTCATATTTTAGCGGATTGGTTGTCTGTTCTGCTGGATAGCAAAATATATCTTTGTATTTTAGGCTTTTAGCACAATCCAAGCGATGTTATTGCACAGTTACATTTTACATCTGCATGCCCGCTAACATTATGAGAATGTATAACTTATAAATTTATTCAAAAAAATATTACTGAAATAGTCTGGGCTTCTAGAGGGCAAATGTATTTTATTTTCGAAAGTGGCTTTGCAGCGTTTAAAACCAGATATATTAAACGTTCTGTGCTAGGGTAAATACCAGCGGAGACATTTTGTTTTCAAAAAATTGGGTGGTCAAATTTGCTGTTTTCAGATAGAAGAAGGGACGCCATGGGTAGCTGCAATTTCAGCGAAGATGGATATTGCCAGCAAAGAACCCATTGTTACAGACCTGACCTTAAAGCAAGTAACGACAGGACAAATCCAACAAGCCCAGAGAGAAGACCCAATTATTTCAAAAGTCACGCTGTACAACAAACGAGCAGGAGTAATACACTGTCCTGCTATATGGGAAAATGGAATAACCTTCGCAACTTCGCAGATGGAATTCTGTTGCAGAAGACCAGGAATCGAACTCAATAAGGCCTACCCCCAAATTTAAAGAATTCATTTAGCAGGAGCTACACAACTGAGATGGGCCACCCTGGTGTCGAGCGAGAAGTCGTTTTAGCCAGGTCCCGACTGTAGTATTAATGGCCATACGTGCAACAGGAGATTATGAACAAGACGCTGTGGGAGCGTATATTTGGGCGTGGTTCTGCTAAGCGTCTGAGAAGTTTGTTATGTGTATGAGGGATATGTGGGTAGTGCAGTGGTATTAAATATTTGAGGGGTTAGTTGAGACGTGTGAAGTAGTAGGCGTGGAGTTATATTGGAAGTTGATTGCTAAGATGATGAGTGTAGTTTATGAGGTAGTTGCTGGGTTTCTACATGGGGTTAAACTCTGTTAATAGTGGCACTGAGGTGTTGATAGAAAATGTCTGTATTAAGTGACATGTTTTACAAACATACTGTTTCCCATCAAATGAAGACTGGACACTGAAAAATGTTGACACGAATATTTACTTTTGCCAAAAATGTGAACTGATCTCTTACAAAGTAATCGATTACAAACACAACATATATAACAGGGACCTTTTCTTATCTTATTTTTACACTGTTCAATGCCAAATCTATACCCCGATCTGCCCGTTTTCTTTTCTACTTGTAACTAAATGTTTCTTCTAGAGAGGTTCCATCTCACAATACTCGAATGAACTAAAACAAATGAACTCAATGAATGTTTCTTCGCAATCTTTTTCCTTTCACTGCTTTCAATTTCGCATGAGCATAATATAGGGTGCATTTCATATTGTAGCTTTTGACAATGTAACTTACTTTGTTTAATTTTACAAATTCTTCAACTAATGGCTGTATGCCTTTGATACTTTTAACAAGTCTTATTTCACCTAACCAACTTTCATATCCCACAAGAAAAGATAAATCCTTTACTCTACTTCTTTGCTGAACTACACAGCTTATACAGTATGTTCCAAACCACGACAAAAATCCTGTCACTTCATGACAATGTTTTGAAATGCACATCTTCAGCACAGATTTGCTCTCAGCCAAATTGCAACATGGGATACCATTGCTTACAGCGCAAACAGTAAGGTTTATCTCAGCTCCACTGATACTCTAGCCTTCAGAAAGATCAACTGGCATAATATGTCTTTTCACACCCATCACATTGTGCTGTGTATTCCCATTACTCGCA